TCACACATGGTATGCCTTCTGCATTAACCCTTTTATCTGTGGCGCAAGCACCTAGTCTGGATACCTTTAAGAAACGCTTGGATGCTTATTTACAGTGCAGGCACCTACTCTGCATACCTTTTAAGAAGTGCTCAGATGCTTATCTTGCTGGGGTGATTTGACCCCAGCTGACTTCCTGCCCCTCGGGCAGGGGGCTGGATCCGATGATCTCACAAGGTCCCTTCCAGCCCTAATGTCTATGACATCTCTGTGCTACCCTAGCTGAATATGGCCACCAAGAGGAAATTGTCTTTTCCAGACTTTCTCTATTGCAAATGTGACTGGGACTTTCTCCATTGCAATGAACCACCACGTGTCTGCTCCATGCCTGATGATGGACACCTGAAGCATCTTTTCCCCTGTCCACCAATCTTTAATATTAATCATTGCTACTGCAGAAGTGCTCAGGGGCCCAAATCCAGGTTAAAGTACCACTGAGCAAGTATAACGTGAAGGCTGTAGAAAGCCGTGGCCCCTGTTATAAAGATCTACCAATCCATACGTCTCCTTTATTCTGTTGACCAGTGAAGTGTCAGTGACAATGGCATTCTCTGGCATGCGATTAGATGTCAGCGGAGGCGGGAGATGGGTACTCCAGCAGTGTTGTGAAGAGGGCTGGCTGAGTGATATGCTCTGTTCAGTTCCCTGGCAATTAGAATAAAATGAAGGAGGGGGAGGAGCCTTTTGGGTTAAGCCAAAGCGGAGATTTTTGTTTGTTCATTTATTTTGGCAATTAGAAAAGTAAAAAAAAAACAACCCAAATGTTTGGGGTTGATTAGACTTCTTCCAGCACCTCCCAAAGCTTCGATGTTTTATGAAGCAGCATGACAGCAACCAGAATGAAGGAACTGAGTATGGCTGGTGACTTTTGTCCTGCTTCTGCCAGGGCCAGGCATCCAACGCTCCAGGAGAAGGTGCAAGGGGGATTGTACAAGGAACAGCTATGGAAGGACCTGGCACAGAAGTTTGCTCCGAGCTCCTGTCACTGGGTGGACTAATAGCTTGAAGCAAGAGACATAGACTGGTTAAGAAGGGCTCTGTCTCCTCCTCAAACCCTGTTAGGGGAAGATGGGCCGAGTAATGGAGCTAGAGAAACATTAAAGTAGCAGGGGAAAGCCAAGACTCCTCTGCGGGATTTTGGATAAATAAATCCTCTTCTCTGAGATTTTTGAAATGGCCTGAGTTTTGTAATCCCAAGTGTTGTGCTTGAGAAATGTTCTTCTTTATTTAGGAAGCAATTTATATTAAATCACTACATTTGGCACTTGTTTTACAGCCTCAGATGTGGTCATGAGGCACTGAGGTCTCTTGGCCTGAGCACTGGGCTGGGGCTCAGGAGGGCAGGTTCTGTCCCAGGCTCTGCCTGGCCCACTGGATGACTTTGGGCAAGTTACTGTTGCTCTCTGCGCCCTTAGTTCCTCAGAGCTTGTGATCCTGACTTCCTCTGAAAAATACATTTTCATCTGACGGCTGGCTAAAAGCTGGGACTGTTGGTTTCATTTCCTGGTTGAGAGCCATGGTAATGACCTGAAGCATGTTGGACAAGGCACCTAGACTAGTATTCACTGTCAGCATGGTCATGACTTGATTAGAGCTTACTTGAAGTCCTATCTTCAATCCAGAGCTAGCCCCCCACCATCTCTGTCTTAATTTGGTACAGTAAATGACTCATCCGTTCCTCCATCGCTACTTTTATAGAGGTCACATCTTTGTAAGGCTGCAGTCTCCTTTGCACAACGTGTGAAACATTTTGGCTGAGATTTCCCTGCATTATGCAGAGGCTCCATCTCCCTGCAGTAGCTTCATGAATGAGATAATTAGCTAATCCCTGCAGAGACCAGCGCTGGGGAGTGAGCATGAGGGGTATGTTGGGGCCTGTTGGAAGCAGTACCCCACGCCTGCCCAGTACTCAGCCACTTGCGCTCTCTGAGGCAGAAGTGTCACAGCGCCACATTTCTCTCCAGTTACTGGTTAGTTTTTGCATAGAGCTATCAAGCAAACATAATGAGAGCTGACTAGGCAAATGCTGTAGCCCTCCATACATTCTGTGCCTGAGGAGCTATGGAGACAGCTCAACACCCTCCAAGCCATTTCCAGATGCTCTCTTAATACTTAGACTTGCAGTAAAAAATCCAGAGATCTGGCCTGACCAAGCAAAACACTCCATTTTTATTACATCCAATGGGTGCTCAACATGATTCCTATTTTCTCCTCCTTTTGATCTCCTGCTTCCAGGTTTGAGGTTCAGAGCAGTAATGCCTCCCCTCTAGTTTCTCCAGCTGGCTGCTGCAAAGGCAGGTGTCCTGATTGTCAAATGCAACACAGAAAATAGGACTGGTTCAATCATGAAGGAGCCTAGTATTCATTTAGCTTAGTTTAGCTACACAGCTTTACAGACATTACAAATAAGCCAGTTTAAGTGATCAGAAACTGGTTTAAACCTGTAACAGAACGGACATTCAGTGCACATAAACCAGTTTCAAAATGGCCGAAACCGGTTTGAGATAAACCTGGTTGAATGTAGCACCAGACTTAAATGATTGAACTGAAACCAGTTCATTCAATGTCTGTCCCAGACCCCTTCCTGGTTTAACTTAAACCAGAGTCCCCCAGCATCCTGGCATGCTTGCTAGCCTGGGCTCTGCTCCAGCTGAGCAGGGCTGGCCCCACCCCTCTGCTCCCCAGCCAAGCAGGGACAAGCAGGGGCAAGAGTCTGGCCAGAGAGGTGTTTAATTCTCTCCTCCCTGTCCCACCAGCATGGACCCGAGCCGGGTCTACCGGGCACTCCCCCCTCACTGCTGCAGTGGTGGGCTGGCATGGCCCCTGAGAGAGGGGGCAGGGAGGGAGGTTATTCCCCAAAAACCTGCACTGCTCCTGGGGGACTGCAGCTGGGTCTGCCCACCCTGACTGCTGCTGCCGCTTGTTCCCTGCTTGGGGCAAGCAGCAGAATAAGCCCCTTCCCCCTGATGCTGTAGGGAGGGGGAATAACCCCCATCTCTGCCCCCCGCCTAAGGGGCCCCGCCAGCCAGCATCTGGCCGTCCCCGCCCCTGGCTGCTGCAGAGGTGAGGGGGCAGGGCCCTCGATGGGGGCAGTAGTAATAGCTCCTCCCCGGTAGGGAGCCCTGCTGCACGGCAGGCAGAGCTGCAGCAGACTGCACACGGCAGCACCAGGGCTTGGAGGGAGCCAGAGCCCCCTTCAGCGCCAGCACTGCCACTGTGGTCCACAGCAGCTTTCCCCACCCTGCCGAGCGGCCCCTGCCAGGAAGAGGCTCATGCTTGGGGAAACCATGACAGGGCTTCTGCCCTCATCATGATCACTCCCCCCTTGCCGCTCGAGCAGCTGGGCAGGGGCAGGGGCGGGGGCAGGCACAGAGCCAGATGCCAGCCGGCAGGGCCCCTTAGGCGGGGGACAGGGACGGGGGTTATCCCCCCTCCCTCCAGCATCAGGGGGAGGGGGCTTATTCCACCACCTGCCCCAAGCAGGGAGCGAGCGGCAGTGGTGTTTAGGGTGGGCATACTCAGCGGCAGTCCTTCGAGGACAGTGGGGTAAGGGAGGGGAGGAATAATCCCCCTCCCTGCTCCTCTGCCTCAGGGGCCATGCCAGCCTGCCACTGCAACAGTGAGGGGGAGGGCCCAGCTTGAGTCCTTGCTGGTGGGACAGGGAGCAGGGAATTAAACCCCTCAGTGGCCTGTTCAGCCTAGGCTACTGCCAGGGCTGGCCATACCCCCTTCCAGCACAGCTTCCCTGCAGCCAAGGATGTGCTTTAGCACCTCCCGGCACCTGGCTTGCGCAACTGCAGGCATGTGCCTGCATTTCCTCAGTCCAGAGGGAATGTCTGTACTGTACAAACTGGTTCAACCTAGGCAGGTTAGACTAACCTGATTGAATCAATTCAGGCTCCGGCTTTTTGAATGTCTGTCCCTAGCCATAAAGACTGAGCAGAGCTGGAAAAAAAATCTTCCGTGTTGAATATTTTATTTGCGCAGCAATGCAGGTTTGAGTTAATTGAAACTACTTGCAGATTTGTGTCCAAACTGTTGAATTGTTTTAGCAGAAAATAAAACGGGGGGGAAAATGCTTTGAAAAAGTCAAAACATTTTAGTTTCAGAAGCAGTTTTGGAATGAATCATTTGCATACTGTTTCAATATCTACTTAAATTTTATTAAAAGATTTTAGAACCTCAATTTTTAAAATCACTCTGATAATTAAATGTGTCTTTCAATCAAAACAAGTGTTTTCCCAGTTCAGGCAGTGAACCAAAAAATCAATTCTTTGCACATCTTGATCTGACAGAGGTGGTGGTTTCTTAAGTGTGGTGTGTTGGTGGGGAAGGTGTTATCTCTCTGGTTGCATGTGTATGTTTGTGAACGGGGGGATGCTGCATGTTGGTTTAGTTTCACTGTGTTGTTTTAACTAATAACTCACAGGCTGTGAGAGGAGCACATCAGTGCTTTCTTGTGTCATTATACATCAGATAAAATATATCAATTTTGGAACACTGTTTCCTCTCAAGGAAAAACCCTCTTAGGAGCCATGGAATACAGTTCTTCCCAGCCTGACTTCAGGCTTTTCCTTTAGCAAACTGGTTGTATTTGCTAATCCATTGGAAGTGAGCGGGGTGGTTCATTCATTTCCACAATTTTGCCCCAGTGTCATAAATGTCAGCAAAACTGTGGCAAAAAAATGTTTCCATACTGCATCTGCATAGTGCATCTGCCACCTTCTCCCTTCCTTTCTCTGCTTCTCTTAGGGGTCTCAGAGTAAAAATTCCTCTTACATGCAGGTCCCTGCTGCTGAGGCAGTGGTGATGATTCTGGTGAGTGTTATGGGACATGGAGGGAAGAAGGAAGCTGTAGGTGAGGAGCATCCAGCTCTGTAGCAGTAGATGGGAAAAGGAGTGCATCTGGCTCCCACACCTCAGGCCAGCCCTACTAACTGTCTGGTTATGACTCTTTGCAGGAGTTTGCAACACTGACAAGAGAACTCAATGCGTGTCGAGAGCAGCTGCTGGAGAGGGAAGAGGAGATTTCCGAGCTGAAAGCCGAGCGCAATAACACGAGGGTAATTCACGTCCAGTCCTAGACCTGTGACCTGGCTGCTCCTGAGATGACCTGTGATTTGAGAAGCATAATCACATGCTATTGATCCCCATCCCAGGAACTAATGGCACCAGAAAGAGTTAGACGGGTGGCTGCTGGGCTAGCTTCCTCTGTCCCAGCTTTATCCATGCACTTCAGGTTCTTGCCTTCAGTGTTTCCCTGCTCATGGAGAAGCTGACAGATTGGCGGGGGGGAAGATTCCCTCTCTGGAGCCAATGCCTACCGTGAAGAATTCAGGAGAAGGGCTCAGCTTTCAGCCATGAGTTCGGTAGGGTTTTGGAATAGTTTTTGTAACACCTGCTAATTTCCTACTAATTAAATTATGGCCTCTAGGACTTGCAGGATTCCCACACAGTTTTGCAAAGGAACGTGAAGCCTAATCTAGGAGAGAATGCCCCTGCTAGCCCAGTCCTGTTTCAACTCTACAGCCTTCTGCAGCAACCCTGCTCCTTAGGCTCAGATCTCTTCCACCCCCTCAGTCCTGTGAGATGGTAAAGGCCTCTCTCTCTCTCTCCCTCTCTTGCAGCTCTTGCTGGAGCATCTGGAGTGCTTGGTCTCTAGGCATGAGCGGTCTCTGAGGATGACTGTGGTGAAGCGCCAGGCCCAGTCCCCCTCTGGCGTCTCCAGTGAAGTCGAAGTTCTCAAGGCGCTGAAGTCGCTGTTTGAGCATCACAAAGCGCTGGATGAAAAGGTGAGCTGCACTGCTGAGGGGCCCCAAGGCAGCCAGGCCCCTGCCGACATTTCACTCCCTTTCCATAGCCAGTGGCCCAGAATCCGAAAGGCTTCATCTGTATCCAGTGCTAGAGCTGGCTGCCCAACTTCTAGCTGCTCCCAATATGCAGCTCTCTACCTGTGAATTGGCAGAGCTGGACATGAGACATGTGGAAGGGTAGCTCCCATCAGGCTCCTCCTACTCCAGTATCCTTTTCTTCTCTTCAAAGCCAGAATAGCCTCATCTCTAGGCAGCAGGATGCCTTTCCTTGTTAAACCCAGTCTCTCAACTGTTCTCTGTGACATCGTGGCAGCAAAGTCACCTTGGCTTTCATCTCAGGAGCTCCTGGAGGATATGGGTCATGCAGAGACTCAAGGTCACTGCTCCTTAGGACATGATCCTTTTATAATCACTTGTTTGTATAGCACCAACTCCTACCTTCCCTGCTCAAGGGAGAGTCTGTGCTGTAGGACTCTGAACGGTCTGTGGGTCCATGACTTCCCTCCATCCCTTGGGAGCAATGTCCATAAGCTGATGCACCTTGATCTCTGGAGCCTCCCCCTAATCCTCACCCCTGAGTTTCTGTTTCAAAGTATCACCCCATATCTCCCCTCTGTACCCCTTTGTGCACCCTGACTTGCCCTTGCTTCTCTGCCTTGTGTGCCCTCTGATGATCGACTGTCCCCGTCGTCACTTTTCAGCCAGGCTGGAGGAGTTCAGCTCTTTGATGCATAGATTCATAGATGTAGGGTTGGAAGGGACCTTGTAGATCTTCTAGTCCGACCCCCTGCCCTGGACAGGAGAGAAAACTAGGCTCAAATGACCCCAGCCAGGTAAACGTCGAGCCTCCTCTTGAAGACCCCCAGGGTAGGAGCCATCACCACTTCCCTTGGAAGTTGGTTCCAGATCCTAGCCTCCCTGACTGTGAAGTAGTGCCTTCTGATGTCTAGTCTAAACCTACTCTCTAGCAACTTACAGCCGTTATTCTTTGCATACTTCATCTTCCTGGCTGTGCAAGGCCCATAAAGGAGCTCAGGGCTGGCACCAACCTTCTGCAGTGCAATGAGACCTGACTCCTACAGTGGAAACCAATGTCACCTTCCTGAGTACTGCTATCAGTGGTGGGGGGAGCAAAGAAGCAGCTGGGCACCTTGAGCAGGGGATCTGAGAAGGTCCAGAAAGCTGGGAGGAGCCCCATCTTTGACAGTGTGAGCAATCTTAGCAGCATAGGGGTCAGGCTAGGATCACTTGTACAGAAGGAGTTGTCTTGTCTGAATTGTGGTCTCCAAGCTATGAGGTGGGAGGGCCAGGTTTAATTTAAAAATGACAGGGGTCACAAACAACCTGGGGGCATTTTTTCCACTGTTTTGCCACCCCCAGTGCAGGGCTGTCTTAATTTCTAGCAGCCACAGGTCGCATGCCTCACAGATCAAACCACTGGGACCACAAGTGACATGGGCTGCACAAAGGGCCCCTGGGCCCCATGCCCCCTTCTGTGTGTCTATGCCAGCATCCCTCACCACTGCACCATGCACCCATGGAGCTCCAGCCTTGCCCTCGGCTCACATATTGCCCCCACCATGTCCCCTAGATCCCTAGGGAGGGAAGAGGAGCCCAGAGACTGAGAATGCTGTTGCAGCTGAAGTGATGCTGGGTATGGTGTTCAGATGAGAGCCTGGAGGGCCACATGCAACCTGCAGGCTGTCAGTTGAACAGCCCTCCTCTAATGCAAGGTAGGGCTGTCCCCAGGTTACCCTAACTTGGGTGGGGCAGAGAATCAGAGAGAGAGGTGGTGATGGGCTCTCAGCTTCTTTTTCTGTGTGTCCTGACTTGTCTTATCTTACTTTACTGGGGGCTGCCCTCAGTGTGAGCAGAGCTTATGAAAAAAATTAGCTGAAACCTAAAAGGTTTCAGAACAGTGAGGCTCTGGAGCTGCTTCCCAGTAGGGGACATGGGGATAAGATACTTGGCTCCTACAACTGAACTGACTGACCCAGGAGTCCTCTCCCAGTCCTGTGTCCTCTGACTTTATCGTGCTGTCTCTAGGGTTCCCACAGCCCAACAGGGAGGTGGGTGAGGCAGCAGCGAGACCTGCTTTCCTGCCTCCTCTGTGACGGAGCAGGAAGCTGCTGACAGCTCCAGCAAGAAAGGAACAGCAGCTGCTCCAGCTCACTGCAGCTGCAGGGGAGATGGCAGTGAGGTAGCACCCTCATTAACTTTCCATAGCAGTAGACCTGGTGCGGTTTAAAAATCACTGGGCATAGCTATGGGTTATAGCCTTAACTCATGCTCAAAGTGAAATGTCTGTCACCCTGCAGATTCTCCAGCTTGCAGGTTGGGTGTTGGTGGCCATGAGTCTGGCTGTGGAAGGAGATGATCAGGCTAGGGTACCAGTGGGTTGAGGGTGCTGTCTCCTCTTCTGCCTTCCAACCAGCTACCTACTGGTGTCTCCCCAGCCTGGGGTACCTCTTGATGATGGGGCCCTCATGCTGCCTTCATGTTAGCTTGCACCCCAGATATTCTACCTGCTGGCAGAAAAACGGCTGTGGATACTGTGGGTGGTAGGACTGCCTGCCTGCGCACACCCTGCGGTCCTGGGGAAGAGAGGGGAGTCAACAGGGGAGAAGACTGGAAGAGAGCAACTCTTTTACATGGAAACTAGAACAAAACCTTGGACCCAGTATTCTTGACTTGGGCTCAGCCAGCACCTTGGAGCTGGGGGCTGCACACCCTGGTGATGAGATGCCTCTGTAGCTCACATTCGCAGGGTGAGGGGTATATCTGGTTTCTTGCCCCCTGCATTTCACACTCAAAGTCCATTAGTGCTTCAGAGGATCAAGTCTCCCTTGAGCTCCCAGGCTTTCCCTCTCCCCTTCCTCCCTTCGACATGCACGCTGCAGCTGCTGACCAGGACGTACCACACTAGGAGAGAATGCCCTATGCTAGCCACATGCCTTTGTGCTGGGGGATGAGGCAGGAGTTAGGCTAAGGCTAGGATTTAGCTGCAGCCCCAACACTTCCCAGAGCTGATGCCCCCTTTGTAGTAAAGTAATAGCCTTTCCCATTATCTTAAATGACTGCAGGTGAGAGAGCGCTTGCGAGCAGCATTAGAACGAGTGACAACCTTAGAAGAACAGCTGGCGGATGCCCATCAGCAGGTAAGAGTCATGCTTTTGGATTCCCCCTGGGAGTCAGCAGGACATTATCTGGTCTTGACACTGGACACAGCTGCTGGGGATCCCCTGGCTAACCTGGAACCACTTGCTGCAGCAGGAAAAAACACTGGCACTTGTCCAGACCCTCTGGGTAAGACAGAACAGCAGGGACTTCATCAGGGTCAGGTGACACGTCTGTCACTTTTGTCATAGGAAGTTAATCCTGCTTGGAGACTGTTTGATCTTTGAACACGAGGCAAGAGGCATGCTCTAAGCAGAGCTGTGCAGAACTGTATTTAATGAATAGTTTAATCACAGGAAAATGCACTTTTTGGCCAGCTGACAAAGTTTGTGAACTGGAGCTCAATTTGGCAAATACTTTTGAGCAAAAGCATGATAAAAAAAAACATTTAAAAAGTCAAAATGTTTTGTAATGACATCTACAGAAATTCCACTCCTTTAGAGTCAAAACTCTGTGCTGCATTTTGATTTTCATTTAAAAATTTCAGTCATTTCAACATTTTCCAAACTTAATTTCTAAAGAAAAAATGTTAAAGGGAAAAAATATTTGTGTCAAATTGGAGTTTGTTTATTTTTTCTTTCTTTTTTTGAGTTACCAAGAAAACACAATCTTTTATTTGCATTGATCTGAAATTGTTGCTTTTTTAAAAACATTTCTGGCTTGGGCAGGAAGCTGAACATTGCTTTGGTCTCAGGCCCTTTGAAAGTAGCTCCTGTTTCTTCAGTCCATGCGATGTACCAAACTCTAGAGACAGGATTTTAGACCCAGTCTACAAGTGGCAGGATTTTAGACCCAGTCTATGAGGGGCTTTCTCTTCTCTTCATTTGACCCCATGGCAGATCACTTGTTAGCTGTCCTATCTCCCCAAGAGCTTCCAGCCTTCCTATGAAGATACAACCCTTCTAGCTTCTGCTTCCATCACATTACAGCAATAGGATAATAAGGATCTTGTTTTATATGAATCACTGGTTTCCTTTGCATGGGCTGTGCTGTATGGCACTGGCTGTCCCAGATTTCTCTTCAAGAAGCTCAGTGCTAGTGGCTGCTTCTCCAGAGTGGAAATTGTTCTTCTGCACTGCACTGAATTTGGGTGTTGAGATTATTTCCTAGAGGAGGAGCTCCTATTAGGACCACGTGTGTGAGTTCTTCTGTGCTGTCCGTCTATGTGGGCCACTCCCGAATCTAAACAGACCCTCCAGCAAGGAAGCATATAGCAGCAAGGTAGGCTGTTGGGCTTGGCACAGGCCTGCAGAACAGTTTGAACAGCCAGGATGAGTTTGCTTGTGATCCTCCTGCCTCAGATGTCCCCTTGGCCTTTCAGCCCATTTCACTCCAATGCCCTCCCTCCCTTCAGAAAAGGGGTCAGTCACACGCATGCAGTGTCCTGGCACCATCTGAGAGGAGAGGTGGGGGGAGATATGGGAGAACATGCCAGCAGGTGGCAGCATGATATCAGTACCCCCACAGCTCACCCTTTGCAAATCCCTCCTTCCCTTTAGTTGGAATCCCTCGTCTCAGTTTCATTCTCTCTCTCCTAATCCTGCCCCCAGATACCATTGTGATTGCTTCTTCTCCCAGGTGTTTACATCTTTGAGTATTTGTGGATGGGTGTTTCATTGACGGATGCTCAGATGGTGTAATTTGTTGTCGCTTCCACACTGTGCCATGGCTCAGTGGAGCTATGACATAGCCATGACACACAGCTTTGTCATAGCTCATTCGAGCTATAAACTTAGACCTGTTGTACAACTGCAAATCCTTTTCCCTCTTAGCCAATCCACCCATTATTTATGTACCCTGCTGTTTATCCCTTTTACTTTTTTGAGACACAAAACAAAATATTTTACCAAAGCCTAAATAGTGCTTGCACTCTCCCTCCCACTTTCCCACCATTTCTGTATTAGAAAACACTAAGCAGTCAGGTTTCCTGGCAAGATGAGTTCTTCATAACCTTTTCCTTTCTGGTTTTTGTTCATGATTCTGGTTCCCTTCAGTTCATTTAATATATTTTTCTCTAAGAGTATTTTCCCATTTACTTGCTAGGTTTAGCAGTCAAGTTTACTGGACAGAAAAGACCACATCCTATGCTACCTGTTAGGTGCCTAGGTGGACTTAGGCATCTGTGTGTCATCCTATTCCATCTTGCTTGAGTCCCTAAAAACAGTTAAAGCAGTAGGTGTGAGTAGGTCCTCCTCTTTGCTGCTGCTTGTAGCTTAGTCTGAAGGCTAAGATGATGGTGTGTGACAATGTGGGTGCATGCATATTTTTAAGGACTTCAGCAAGGTGGAGTAGGTTCACACTTGTGTGTGCAAGTTCACTTACACACCTAATAGGTAGGATAGGATCAACCCTTATTTTTTATTTTAAATGAAAGCTGAGATGTTCACATATACTCATGATTGCAAGTGTAGGAGATTTACTTGAAGTATGAAATAGAGTTATCTAGAGTTATCTCCTGGAAGAAGCAGTTCTGTGCTGAAGTGCTGGTCCACTAGATACCATATTGTACCTTCCTTTGTTCTTCTCAGTGGTTTTGCTACTGCTGATGTTTGGCTGCTTATAGTGAGAGGGTTGGGGGTTGTCTGGAAGTATGAAATGTAATTAAAAGAAGAAAAATAACAGAGAGAGAGAATGAGAATTAGTTTCCACACCTTTTTCTTTCTTTTTCCATATTTATATCAATCTCTTTGGTCTCTCATGGGGTAATCTCAAAGCTTCATCAGGTCACAGATACATGTACAGTTATACAGCTAGAAAGGTGTCCATGAAGCCCCTTATGGCATGGAAGATACATGTGTCCTTTGTGGCTGAAATATGGAGGTATTTCTAACACCTACCCTAACGAAAACATTTTACTGCTCATTTTTTGTTTAAGATATTAAGACATTTGCTTAATGCAAGCTTATAAAAACACATTCACACTAAAGAACATGATTTGTATAAACATAAAAACGATGAAATGGAGTGTAGTTTAATCTTAGCTGTAAATAAATACCAAACATGACAGTGGTAAATCTAAGCTGTGAATGTAATAAGATGCTCATTAGTAAGATAAGGAAATAGAGACTATGAAAATACTGTCAGGTGGATATATAACTGGTTGGATCATTGTGCTTAAGCAGTAGTTATTAATGGCTCTATACCTAGTTGGGAGGAGGTGTCAAGTGGAGTTCTCCATGGGTCTCTTTTGGGTCATGTATTATTTAATGTCTTTATTAATGATTTGGAGGATGTGCTTGAGTGCATGTTTAGCAAATTTGCAGACGACACCAAATTGGTTGGAGTTGCAGACACTGTAGAGCATAGGTCTCAGATCCAGCATGACCTGAATAAACTGAGGAATTGCTCTTCAGTCAACCAAATTAAATTTAACAAGAAGTACAAAGTCCTGCATTTCAGACAGAATAGTTACATATACAAATACAGATTGGGGAATGATTTGCTAGGAAGCAGTACTGCAAAAAAGGTTCAGCATCAATCTTCAAAACCTGAAGGGTGATTATAGAGAGGATGGAGATGGACTATTCTCTTTGGCCACAAGGGACAGGAATAGGAGCAATGACCTACAGCTGCAGCAGAGGAAATTTAGATTGGAGATTAGGAGGACCTTTCTAACTGTGAAGGTGACAGAAACATATTTGGAAAAGCAGGTTTTGATTCTTAAATCAGAATATCAGGGGTTTGAGTCTTATTCTTCCCTTCCCCCAGTCATTGTGCATTGTCAGGACATGTGACCCAGAAGGCGTTACACTACTTTGTGGTTTTCTGTGGTCTCTGGAGAGTGAGTGGCCAATGGCAAGGAGGTGGTGACTGCCGCAAGATCTTGCAGTTAGGTAGCAGTGGGACCACCCAGCACCTCATCAAAGATTGGCAGTACCTTGGAGAACCTATCTCTAAATTTGGCAAGAGGCACATCTCCTTCCCACTTTTCCTGAGCCTTCAGTTGCTTATTGCATTTTTCCTGTTCTCTGTCCTCCCTGACAGCCCCTCAGCTGGGCTGTCTAGTCTTTTTCCTTAGGATGACGGTTACTAATCATAGATATGCTGTACAGAGGCATAACAGAGCACCTCTGCTCCCGGACAGCAGCAGCACATTGGACAATGGTAGCAGTGGCAGTATGGCCAGCCAGCAGCTGAAGTGGCTAGTATTTTTGCACCATCCCTGAGTTATGCTGCTGCTGCTGCTTATCTATGAGCTATAAAGTTGCTACAGGACCCTGTGGGTGAGAACCTCTGGCCAGTGTAATGCAGAATGATTCCTCCTGGTTTGACGTCTATGACTGTGTATATAATCATAGAAAAGTCGGGCTAGAAGGGACTTCCAGAGTTCATTTAGTCCAATTCCCTGCTTAAGGCAAGATCATCCCTGTTCAAACCATCCCATGCAAATCCTTATCTAACCTATTCCTAAAATACAGTAAAATCTCATTGCACAACAACAAGGTGCATCACCCTAATCTGGCACAGGTAAAGCAGGAGGACATTGTCAGCCAGTGTCTTACTGCTTTCAGGGTTGTTAAAATATGCTCAAGAGTTCCAAGGAAGAGGGTCATGCCCCCTGCAATAGAGGCAAAACCCCTACAGTCTTCCCTAGTCTGACCATGGGTTAAAATTCCTTCTTGACCCCAGATGTGGCGATAGGTCTGACCCTGAGCAGAAGGGCAAGACTCTTTAGCCAAGAACAGCCAGGTTTTGTTCTGGCAGCTGCATTGGTATACCCCAGTCAAAATGCCCACCCTTGGTAAGGTGGGAAAAGAAAGCCCCTTGACCTGTAAAGCAACAGGAGGGGGAAAAAAATCCTTCCTCCATGTGGCAACCAGCAAAGCCCAGAACCATGGGAAATAGCTGGAGTACAGCACAGGCATAACTACTTTATGCTTGGTTATTATTGTGCAGTGACCCTAGGCCTGAATAGGGGGCAGGCAGTACTAGAAATAGTCCTTGGTGTTTTCTAATACATATGGTTGAATTTTGCAGGTAACTGCTCTGCAGCACGGCCCCGCACAGAGGGAAGCCCCACTAGGAGAAGATGAGAAGAAGGCAGAGGGCAAGGAACCAGGGCAGAAGATTCCATGGAAGGTGAGGACCCCCAGGAGAAAATCCGATCTGAGCTGAAGTGCTCCACACTTGCTCTCTGACTGGTAGCCATGTGTGGATCAGCCACTGCAGGACTTTCAGGGAGGGTGCCTTTATTGACCTGCCTGCCTTGGGTGGCTGCACACACACACATGCACAGGCACCCAAGAAAGGCAGGTCAATAAAGGCACCCTCCCTGAAATTTCCCCTAACATTTTATAATGCCAGTCCGTGTCCTCCTTGTATGACTACGGGATCTTCTGATAAAATGGGTTTCCTCACTTTGGGGAGACAGGCTGCTGCAGTGAGAGCATCAGACTTTAGCATCCCCAAGTATTTGTTCTTGGCAGATTCCCCTCACTGGCTGGATGATGTTATGTGCTGTGCTTTTAAAGAGACATGCCTGTGTAGCACTTCTGAAATGGACATACGGATCTTACTGGTCCAATTACAATCACCAGCACTTGAAACAAGTGGCAGATAAAGCCTTTCAAGACCCCTCAAATTCTCCTGGCTAAATAGAATCCATCTCATTGGACTTGATTACCCCATTTATCCACATCCCTCTTCTCTGCACCCTGAGTGCCTCCATCAGCTTTCCATCTTGATGGGCTGCCCTGCTGGGCCGTGTCCCCTAGGGACTCCTCAAGATGCTCTAGGCAATTCAAGCAGTGCTTTGGGACAGCTAGAGGCTCTGCTTGCTACAGTTGTATTGTAATACTAACACTGTCTGTTCTGGGGGTTTCCAGAGGCTGTCAAATGGCTCTGTGCACCCCGATGATGAGGCGAGTCGCATAGTAGAGCTGCAAGAACTCCTGGAGAAGCAGAATTATGAGCTTGCACAGGCTAAAGAGCGTATAGCAGCTCTGGCTGCCAATGTTGCTGAGTTGGAAGAGGATCTAGGCACAGCCAGAAAGGACTTAATCAAATCAGAGGAGATGAGCAGCAAGTACCAGAGGGACCTTCGAGAGGTCAGATGCTTGTATTCTGTTAGCCTGAATACTCTCTGTGTCTGAACTGCATGCTGTAGCTCAGAAGCTCAGTACAGGGCTGTGCTGTGGGAAGAGTGTGAAGAAACGGAACATTTTTAACAAGAGGTTTGGGGGTTCCTGTCTTTGGGCAGCTCAACCTCATATGCTTCCTTTTCCAAGGTTCTGAGCGCCCTGCAGCCGCCAATGAGTTCCTTTTTGGCTCCCTGAAATCTCAGCCCAACAGCATCTTTAGACAGATACTCAAAAAACATCGGCACCCAAAGGTGTTGCTGTCTCACGGGAGTGAGCTGCATCCATGCCGGAATAGATAGCTTTATTACTCATGGCTCCAGGCTATCACTGGTAGTGGGCTGAGGTATCTTCGGGGCTTTATACCCTGATAAAGGTTTTCAGGATACCACACATGAATATCTGTTGTCTGATGCTCTCCCCTTATCTCTGCACTTTGCTTCCATTATGCTAAACCCCTTTCCAGTCTAAGTGAAGCATGCAGGCCAGGGCTGCCTTCTCCCCTGATCATGCTTTAGAGTGGTGCTCTGCCTGCTTGAGGGTCATGGAGCTGTTAGCTGGTGCTCACTGGGGGCTATGACTGCTCATCTATATTCCCTCAGGCCCTGGCTCAGAAGGATGATATGGAGGAGAGGATCACCACTCTGGAGAAGCGCTACTTGGCAGCTCAGAGAGAAGCCACCTCCATTCATGACCTCAACGACAAGCTGGAGAGTGAACTGGCCAACAAGGAGTCCCTCCACCGCCAGGTACTGGGCTGTGCTGTAGGTACAACCCACACATGGGGAGAAAAGTGCTTGTCAGGCCACAGAGATGATGTGTTCTGGCTGGAAACACCCCTCTCCTCCCTGTCACAGAGAATCATGTCTGGAAATGCTTGTTCCCCTAGTCAAGAAATAGGATCTTGCCCATAAATTCCTCCTCTTTTCTGACCCAGCAGGATTTTTCCCCAGAAGCCATTTGGGGAAAGCTCCACTCAGATAAGTCCCCCTGCATTGAAGTAGATGTTGTTATTGTCTGCAGCTATTGAAAAAGGGAAAGGACCTAGAGAAAGCTTCCCAGGAGTGTTGATGGGGAGATTTTAAGCCCACACCCAAATATCCACTCAGCCAGTATCTTGTTCTAGGGTATGAGACAACCCTAACTACAGAGGATCAGAAGGAAGTTTCTCTCAGGGGCAGATTGTTCTTTGATTGCCCAGTAAGGGGATTGTCCACTTTCTTCAGGAGCAGCTGATGTTGAAGGCCAAATGCTGGACTGTTGATGTGATCCAGTTTGCGATTCCTTCCGAGTGAGATGTATCTAGTTTAGTGCTAACATGTTCCCCCAAACTCTGGGCAGGATCCCACAGGTGAAAGGGCAGGTTTTTCAGGACTCTTCTGTTTCCTTGTCCCTGAAATGCATCCTCTCCCCCTCTGTAGCCTGGGTCTGAGTTGGGTGATGCTGGGAGGCTCCCCAGCCTCAGCATTAAGCACATCTGTTCTGCATTGTCCTGCAGTGTGAAGAGAAGGCTCGGCATCTGCAGGAGCTGCTGGAGTTGGCAGAGCAGAAACTGCAGCAGACGATGAGGAAGGCAGAAACACTGCCAGAGGTGGAGGCAGAACTTGCCCAGAGAATAGCAGCCCTCACAAAGGCAAGTGTGCTGTGGGAGACACAGCAGAAATGGGGTCTAGGCCCTACTAGGTCCTTCCTCATAAAATATAACCCTGGACTGGCCAGATGTGCAGGCCATAAAGGATCATTATCCCTATCCAGTCCTGCACAATATAGAGCAAAGGACTGCTCAGAGTTAATTCACATTTGAACATGAGCATGGCTTTTACACATACGCCCGGTTTTGATTTTGAAATTACCTGTGGTGGAGAATCCACTGCAGTCCTCCGCACCTTGTTCAGGGTTGGTTCTGTTGACCCCACTGCCATGTTTCATTGATGTCCCATTGCAGGCACTGAAGGTCCCAAATGCCATTGCTGTTTCTTGATAAGGTAACTCTTTAGAGCTGTAAATGCTGACACTTCCTAGAAGAGTCCTTTACTTTTTTTCCTAGGCAGAGGAGAGGCACGGGAGTATTGAGGAGCATCTACGGCAGCTGGAAAGTCAACTAGAGGAGAAGAACCAGGAGCTGGCAAGAGTAAGCGCTACTGAAGCATGAGAGCAGGTGTCACCCTGGCTTCCTGCCAAGATCTCAGGCTGCTCTTGGCATGGACACCAGGGTCAGCTGCTGCTTCTTGATGCTACCCACTTTCCCTTTTATTTTAGTTCAGTTGTGTCAGTAGATACCTGGGCAGGCAGGGGGCTTGTATGTTTGTGTGGGGTAGCAGGAGAGTCTGTGAAATTCTGACAGGAGGCCTAGATTTGGAGATGATAAAGGTCACTTGCTGTGGTTTTGTTGTCCCTCTGGCCTTGTGTTGGCCCCCACAATGCTCACTTTAGTGTTAAACTGAGCCCCCAACCCTCAGTGCTATGATTTTTTTAAATGGCTCTTAGGTATTTATTAAAAGCATGCACATGCTTCCCCTCCGTCATCTAGACCAGGCCTCTGTGAGCACTGCATAATGGTGGACACAACCATCTGGTCCCTGCAGCCCTGGCACTCTGTGTCTGAGCATCTCGGAGTTCTTAGTCATATGTTACCCTCGTGCAGGACCACAGCATTGGAAACACTTCTCCCCTGTTTACAGGTAGAGGAACTGGAGCGCAGGAATAGAAATGGTGCTGAACCATCAGTCTAGCAGGGAATATGGCTGAGGCCTCCTGATTTCCATTTTCTATGTTGCAAACGCTGCTTGACATAACTGAGTGTGTTTGTGAAAAAGCTGTGTGCAGTAAAGAGAGGTGCTTCTCCCTCAACTCAAGATTTAATCTGGAATTCAAAGAAGACCTCTAGCCATCGGTGGTACAATGATCTGGAACCATCTGTAAATAGGCATGGTGGGGACAAAGAACTGAACCAGCTTTGAGGTGGAGTTTGATCAGCTTCTGAATAGGTCGGTGCGATAGATCTGCTGGCAGCAGCAGAAGGCCGGACTCCATAACCCAGGAAGTCACTTCCCATCCTGTGTCCTGTGTTTTTAATTCCTGATTGCCTTTGAGTTGTAGGCCTGCTTCTCTTCTTCCACTCTGTGAGGATCTTTTGAGTCATTGCAGCTCCTTTAGTGTAGAATGGGTTCAAGTGAGAGGAGATTGGGTCACAGGTTGCATCTTGCAGAAGCTATTAGATCAAAAGAGCCAATCCCTTTTGCACTCTGCCTAGGTCAGAGTCAGAATTAGCACTCAATATGTAGTATTCAAATTGCAGCTTCTCTCTGGATCATTGGGATCCCGCCCCACTCTCTTGCTCTCCTGCTTAATCCCTGCACAGATGTCATAATGATTGATTGCACAAACCTAGGAGCTCTGACTCAGCTTACTGGGGCTTGAGCAAAGAGAGGTGTGTGCAGCAGCCCAAACATGTGCTGGACACAGAGGGATCATGCTGTCTGGAAGACAAGCTCCTTAACAGCGTTAACCATGTACAGTGGTTTGCTGGTGTTCTGGTTTAGTAGCTCCCTTGCCTGGCACAAGCAGTGATGTGCCTGTGTGTGGTGGTAAAACAAGGACTGGACTCAGTGGCTTCTCCCTATCCCTAATACGTTTGTTCACCAGAGCGCCCCAAGGGATGACGACTAGGTCGAACGGTCATAAACTACTTCAGGACAAATACAGGCTGGACATAAGAAAGAATTTCTTTACTGTCCGAGCCCCCAAGGTCTGGAACAGCCTGCCACCGGAGGTGGTTCAAGCGCCTACATTGAACACCTTCAAGAGCAAACTGGATGCTTATCTTGCTGGGATCCTATGATCCCAGCTGACTTCCTGCCCTTTGGGCAGGGGGCTGGACTCGATGATCTCCCGAGGTCCCTTCCAGCCCTAATGTCTATGAAATCTATGAAATAATCTGCTTTGGATCCAAAGCAATGCTGGAGCGAGACGTGTTGAGAGAATGCATTCTAGATTTCAGGCCAGATACGCACAATGTGGTTAAAACATCCACCATTTGTTAAAGTTGCCAATACCACACAGGGCCTCATGGACAGGAGAAGAATGGTGGGAGGTTGTCTGGAGAGCCAGGGAGGAGCTCAGAGATGATCTGGGGACCTCACTGGTTTGGGAAGCAGCATCGAGGGGGCAGAAGGAAAAGCAGGGAGAACACACATCACTGATGCCTTAGGGCAGGGGTGCTCAACTCCTGGCCCCACAGGTCAGATCTGGCCTGTAGAGCCATGTCATGTGGGGCTCCCCAGGAGTCTGGAAATTTGGCAGCAGGGGCGCAGTGGCAGCATTAATTGCTGCTCCCCTGTTGCCAAATTTCTGGTCCTCCGGGAGCCCCATGGGCCAGATAACGTGGCCATACCCTCCAGGTTGCACCAGTGTGAATCCAGATCCAGATGCATGGGATTGGGTCCATGAGCCAACCCTGCACGCTGACCAGGCACAGGATTCAGCCATAGACTAAGCCTACACAATTCATCTGGCCAGAAGGTTGAGCGCCACTTCTAGGGAGACTACTGAAATGGCAGGGAGAGCTATATCAGCTCCTTGAACAGGAGCTTACCAGCTTCCTTTATCCCTGGCCCGGTACCTCAATGATTCAAATATGGTCTTAACAGTCAAAGGCCCAATGAGCCTCCTTTGTTTGGACCCTGGTTTCCAGCTGGGAGAGGGGAAACGTGGCCCTTGCGTTTACAAAGCACATCATGAGCCAGGGTGATCCATTCTAGTTGTTATCTGATTGTCCTTGCAATGATCTGATGTTAGCATTCATCTCTCTGCGCAGTTTGGCTCAAAACTCTCTCCCACTTTAAAGAACCCAGAGTTCTTGCTGGAGTTACAGAGCAAAGCTGGTGCCAACAGCTCAGCAGCCTCCTTAAAGCCTAGAAAGTCCTTTTTTTGCCCTGTTCCAGTAACTCAGGACTGGCTGTTCTCAGCCCAGCGAAATCTTCTCTGAATGTAGCTGGGGGGCCTGGAAGACATATGGCTTCATGGTTTATATATTTCAGGAAGTTAGGGAATGCCTGCACTTCAGGGCTGGGGTTGATGGTGCTCCCTTCCTTCCCAGCTGTTCTGGGCCACTAGCACTACTACTGCTGTGATGCTGGGATATTGTCCTGCCTGTGGCACTGTCCAGGAGTCAGCCTGGTTTCCTATGGAAGTGAAGCGCTCAGGTGTGTGGTCCTGTGTGCTTCTGTTGCTCATTTCTATAGTGGAACAGGAAAGCATGTCCCAGTGGGTGGTGCCTGCCTGTTCTTGCTCCCTAACACCCTAGCCGTGACATTGCTGGCATTGGACCTGATCTAGGTTGTGTTCTTCCTCCATGGCTGGGGGTTTGTGCTGCTGAGAAGTCAGGCAGGGCTTTTGGCGCTAAGGAAGAAAAGTTGGGATTTGGGAACCCAGGAGCCTTTGCCACTGCGGGGGTGGGGAAGGTTACATCTCTTTTAGGCCTCACGTGGAAGAGGCCAGAAGTGGCTGAAATGGGGGTTGTCACAATTTCCTAAGAGCTGTTGTGACAGAGTGGTTAAAGCATCTGACTAGAGGTCAGAGAGGAGAGTTTGAGACTTGCACTGAAGGCCACTCCCAATCATCCTGGCTGTAAAGAGATACCTGATCATTCACTCAAAAAAATCAAAGGATGTGGTTGCATATGAAGCCAGCATCTCACTCTCTTGTGTGCTATTGGCTACAGCAACCGGTGTGCTTGTAACCATGCTAGCCTGATGGGCTGTCAGGCACAGTCAGATCTTTGACCTTGATCTCCTAAGTCCATGTTGCAGCAATCCCTGATATCAGTCAGCTGCCCTGATATGCCTAGTGCATCCTACAGTGATGCATAGGCCATAAGCTCATGCTAAAACTACCAAGAATGAAATAGCCAACAATATTGCCATGCTGTTGGAGGTGTTATCTACAGAAACATATGGGGCAGTTGACTCCTAGTGGATATTATGCTAGGCTTCCTGCAGACTCAGAGACAATGCTGCCTCTGGTCTGACTCTGTTCACAGGCGGAAGGTTCTCTTTATGGTACCAAAGACTGGGGGACCTTTTGTTGAGACAGATCCTGAGCTGGCGTAAATCAACAGAGCTACTGCAGTGTATGCAAAAGAAGCACCTGGCCCAAGAGTGCTCTGCTGCTTAAGCCTGATATACAGCTCATGCCTGGGTCCTGCTGGCAGAGTTGTGAGCACACCAGCTCTATGAGCAAGAGATGGCTTCTGCTGACAGAAGACTTGTAGATGCTCCTGTGCTTTCTGCAGGCTGCCACAGCCCCTCTATCAGCACCTCCTCTACTGCACTGTGCACCCTGCTCATTGTACACCACAGTAGTACAGCCATGTGGTTCCAGCAGGAGCTGTGTCTGCAGTCTGCTCACAGAGCTCCTTTCAGCAGAAGCCATGTAATCAGGATAAGCCCCTAACTCTAGCAGAGGGTGGATTGTCTGACATATTTTGCAGCCAGAAAACTGGCATGACGATGGTCCCCACAGTGGGAGGGGTCCTGCATCACCCTAGGGATAACCTGGAGAGGATGGAATAGGCCTTTTCCAACTGTCATTAGAAGAATTTTTTGAAATATATGAAAATCACCCTTTTAGTGTGTGCTGCATGAAGGAATTACAGGGCTGATTGCAGTTTGCCATTACAGGCCCGTCAGCGGGAGAAGATGAACGAGGAGCATAACAAGCGGCTGTCTGACACTGTGGACAGATTGCTGAGTGAGTCCAACGAGCGCCTGCAGCTTCACTTAAAGGAGCGGATGGCAGCTTTGGAGGAAAAGGTACAACCTGCCGTGCCCAGGGGTGAGAACTCCCTAGGGAGGGTTGGGTATGCAGCCTGCCGAGTGTTGGGCATTGGACACACCAAGTGGGTAGCAGGTCAGTGGCAGCAGGGATGGGCCCTATGCTATTTCATTGCTCAGGGGTAGGCAACCTTTTCCAACTGTGAGCTGGAATGACCCACCCTGTGTCAGATGTAGGCAGGCAGGAGCTAGAGCCATGCCACTGCTTGTCTCTACGGTGGCAAAAAGAGAGGGCACGCGCAGCTGAAGCCCCATGTCCACAGGCCAGATCCAGAGGTTCCCCAGGCCAAATGCATCCTGTGGGCTGTAAGTTGTTGATCCCTGCTCATTGTACTCCTTCCATGGTACAACCACTAGAGGAACATGTACCCAGATCCATTAGTGTGAGCTGTTTTGTTGCATTTTGCTGAACAAGTGCAGTTGTTCATCCCTCCACCTGAAGCATCAAAACCTTTCAGAGTCAAAGCTGCTACAAGACCTGCTTAGAACCTGCCTTAGCCAGGTTGAAAGCAAATTGTACCCTGACCTGTAAAGCTTCCCATCTAGTTTTGTCCCATGCAAACCCATGGGAGCCAGTATCTCAGCCAGACGGCTGGATGGAGTTTCTACTGAACTAAGCATTCATTCAGTTAGCTGCAAAAGCAGGTGGCTCTGAGCAAGTGGATTCCTCATTGCAATACTGAGAGGAAGCCAGCCTGTCAGTCTGGGTAATAAACAGTTATATGTATGTCCAAGGTCACTTGGGGCAGGCTCCTTTCTCCTTCAGTGGGGGATTGCAGTCAAACTCTGCATGTGGGGAAGATGGTTTTAGCACTGATCTATCCATCCGACTTGTCACATGTATGACTGCCTCTCCATAGCTCGTGAATCCTGATCCACACATTAGAGCTTGGAATTTCTATTGTCTTGCCTTTCATCTCTTGTGAATACCAGTGTGGTGATTCTAGCTTTTGCAGCCACTCTGCAGAGATGTCAGTGACATTCCACAAACAACAGGGCTGAAACACTGCAGCACATTGCGTGGGCTCCCTGGAGGCCTGGCTCTGATACTGATTCACAGAGACAAACTCACAGCATCAGATGGAGAGTTGCCCCTGCTTAATGTCAGTGGAGAATATGGCCTCAATCTATCGCTGTCCATGCCAGAAACCCAGGCACAGGTGCCTGGGTTTATACAGCTATGTGAAGTCTGTCAGCCAGAAGGATGCATTAACTACTTTACCAAGAGAGATCTGATGTTCTCAATTTGTAGGGTGTGTTAGCTGATCAAAGGTGTGTGGAGGAGCCAGTCTCACCAAGTGAGGGTGTCTCCATTGATGTGCTGGAAGCTTTTTTTTTCCACTCAGATGCCTGCTGGGAAAAGGGGACCACTAGGGTTTAGGGTCTGTATCGTTTAGGAAAATCTATTATTATTTATATTCTAGCCCTGGCCTTGCCAGGACCTTTTCTGTAATACAGATGTAAGTTAGTGCCATTCAGCCTGGTTCTGTTGGTTGAACTGCTGCTCTAATCTCACCCCCTTTGCCTAATCTGGACAAATCTTTACAGACACTTCTTCCCAAGGCCAGCCATATCATTTGTCACTGTCACAGCGTGTTGGGGAAGGTCTGGGGCAGCGCAGCCTTGGTTCTAGGGTGAAAGGTGTGCAGGGACTGTTTATTCACAGTCTATGCTGAAACAGCCCCAGGAACACAAAGAATAGTTTTGAAACCAAGCTGTTGATGCCTTGGCTCATTATTGCAGAGCAGACCTGTCAGTGCAGTTGCTTTCACTGTCAATCAAAGTAAACAGAGGGTATGGAGAATGTCATCTTTCATCCTGATGTGTGTCAATCAACCTAGCCCTCTTCCAAGATGCCTGTGTCAGTCTTTCTTGTAAAGTTGCATGGACACATTTCCACTGATTGACTTGAACAATGTCCTCTCTCTCTCTTATGTTAAAGAACACCCTATTACAAGAGCTGGAAAGTACACAAAAGCAGATTGAGGAGCAGCAGCATGACAAGGTATGTGTTGCTCCAAGGGGTTTGTGTTAGCAACTGTGCTTCCTTGGTCCTCATCCTATGTTAGAAGCAGTCACACCTACTAAAAATGCCCTGCTTACCTGTGTAAGACAGGAGCCCAGAGCACCCAGCAGTCATAACATGAATAAATCCATGTGTTACTTTGGCTAGGCTGAGATTCCAGTGCTTGCAGAGGGGTTCCCAGCCTGCATCCCCCTGCTCCTATAAATCTTGCCTAGTTCCCTGGAGCTCATAACATTGAGGGGTGAAAGAAGATCTCAGGCCCAGCTGGCGAGAGCCTTGGAGAGCAGAAGCAAGACTGTCTCTCTCCCTAGTCTTTATTAAAGAGTCAGTATAAGAGGTTGAAGCGCTAGGATGGCGCAGGGAGGTGGCAGCCTTCTGAAGCAGCGAGTACTTTCTGAGCGTGCCAGCTTTCTTTTGCTAATCCAGCACCAGGCTCTTCTGGGGTTAGGAGGTAACAAAGGGGCTGCTTCTAGATCTCACTCTTTTGGCCTGGAGCTGCTCCGTTACACCCAGAGAATTCCACAAGCTCAGCTGTCCTTTTCACCCACTAGCTACCTCAAAGGGCTACTGCTGTTTGTTCCTGTGCAGGGAACAGGAGCCTTGGGAACAGACACTGTGCTGTGTGCATAGAGGAAGCAGCATTCAAATAACGCCCAGCTTAGTCTGTTTGCACATGGGAGCAGATCCCAGTATGACTGTGAGGTACCCGCCCTTGGCTTCTTGGTCCCTTCCATTTATACTTCCACTTTGTTTCCTTAGTACTTATGAGTGATTAGGGAGAGTGGGAGGGGGAAGGTTAGGATCACATTCACAGTGACTTGATGGGATCTGTCTGCAAACTTCTGGGAAGGTTTATGTTATGCATGCAGGGATAATGGATTTCTGGCTCCAGTCCAGTCTCTGCAGCTTCCCCACTGAGCTGTATCCTCTCTGTTTGAAGCTATCAAGTTATAATATGGCTGCTTAGTCAAGATACAAGTTTCTGATTAGGAAAGAGTTGATGAGTGACTGGCATGGGAGGAGCTGGACTGGTGTGCACTTTGGACAGTTGGTCCTTTAGTGGAGAGATGTGCAGGCATTCACCCAGCAATACTTAGAGCAAAAGCAGAGGAGCTGAGTGGAATCAATTCACCGTCATGTAACAAATTAACATCTACTTTCAGCACTTCCTCACGTGTGTGTGTGTGTGTCTAGTCTCATGATACTTCAGCTGGCTTCCCCCGCCTTGGTTCTAGCATCATTATTTAGCATAGCCTGCATGGTTTGGGGCTTAACAGACATGTAAGAGGCCTAGACGCCGGTGCAGGGATTTTTGAAATATTTATAATCAAAATAAATACATAAACAGATGAGTGGATTGTTCTGTACAAAACTGCCTGTTCCCCTTTTGTCTCATTCTGAACAGAGGAGGTTGTCCGATGAAATCGACAAGCTGAGATTAGAGGTTGACCAGCTAAAGACAAGAAGTGGAACCTTTGTGGACAGCGTACACACAAGGTAAGGACCTGAATGCTGGGGCTTCCATCAGGCTGTGCCTTCAGCCTGCTTTGTTCCCCCTTGCACCTTGCACCTAACTGCCTGCATAGCACAGGGAAGACCTGTCTTGCATGGCCACAACTCAAGGAATGTGCTTTGCTCTTTGAAAACACTCCAGATCCATATCATGCAGTTACAGGCTCCATCAGCTTCCTGTTTTCCTGGATCCTTGGCCTGTACCAATGCTGTGGCCAACAGTGAGAATTGTCTACAGGAGGGTTGATATCTCAGGGCATGTCTATCCGGCAGACTACCTTAAACCAGCTAACTTTGATGTGAGCAGTGTAGCTGCAGTAGCATATAGCTCAGCACAGAGTAGCTACCCATATATTCACTCTGCTGCTTGAGCTGTTTTTGCAGCTTGCACTAAGCCCTGTGCTATTGGTTACGCTGCTAAGGTGCAGACAGAAGTGACAATTTTTCCCTGATCTGGCCACCTGATCTGATGATTCTGACAGAGCCTGGCCATTGCTATGGGAACCTGGGTGCAGGCTCTGAGCGGCTAGATTCCCCTCTCCCCTGGAACCAACAGTGAACTTCTGTTTGGTCTGGGGTAACATTGTAACTCACAGTGCTTTGCAAAAACCATTCTGGGTTACAGCTGGGAACTGTACGTCTGTCTGCACCCCTAGTGATACCCAAGGTGGCAAGCTTACAGCTACCTTAAGTAAGTCTGCACAAGCTGGAGTCACAACAGTAACTGCAATGTAGACAGGCCCTCAGGAGCAGACAGTCAGACTGCATGCTGAGCTGAGAATAATGCTGCAGTTGCATATTGGCTCATTTTCCATGTCAGTAGCTTAAATGAAATGACAGGGGTTCCAGGTGTTTCCTGTTTGAATTGATAGAGTAGCTGTGGCCAGAGTTAGTCTCTCACTGGTGTAGACAGCATGGCCCCTTTGTGCCATTTCTGCGGCCAGGCTCAGGCAGCTCCTAGGCTGAAAGCTCCATGGATCAGGCTCTCAGGGATTTTGCAGTTCTTTTTCCATCCGCTCACAGACTTCCTTTCTTGTTCTCATGCCTCTGTGTAAGCAGTAAAGTCAGAAAAAAATGCTTCTCCCTTCCCTGGGCAGGGATGTTCAACTTAGCAGCTGGGGGACAAATGCCCCACAGGCTACACCAGCAAGGATCTCACACCCACACTCCACAGACCCCTCACCCTGCTGCACCAAGCAGTTGTGTAGCCCCAGGGTCACCCTCTGTTTCCCCAGCTGTGCTGCACTGTACTGCCCTGCTCCCTGGGGCAGGGACAGGCAGCAAAAGCTGGAGGAGGGAGGGCAAACCTGGGGACTCCAGCTGTTGTAGGCAGAGCAATAGGGGGAGTGGTGGCTACCAGGCAGGGTTCAGGGGGTAGGGTGGGGCTGCTACTTAACCTCTTGCAACCTACATGTTGCCCAAAGGCTGCCAGTTGGACATATCTGCCCTGGGTCTTTGGGAAGGTAATGGCAGGTGATAAAGTGGATGTTTGGAAGGAAGACTCTCCTTGGCTGACAGGGTCCCAGTGGTGTATAAGTCCCTTGGACAGTATGCATGTCTTTGGTGTTGCTTTCAATGCCCAATATGAAGTATTGTCTGCCATGCTATCACACCACACATGAAGTCATGCAAAATTGTGGCTTCATTGGCTCAGCTGAGCTGGTAGCCCAGGGAGACCAGTATAAAAGCCTGATCTCCATGTACCTCCCATTCATAGACTGGCTGTCCTACGCCTTTTCATTTTCAAGCTAGGCCAGAGAATGTGTTGGCTGTAGCCAGATAGTGGGCTCTGGGTGATGCACAGTGTGCCTGGAGGAGAGGCAAGGGAGGGGAGGGATCTTCCTCATTCAGCAGTGGTTGTGAGGTCTCAGGTCATACTAGCATTTATCCCCCTGCTGCTCAAAGCAGGCTGTGACTAGTAGGGGTCAAACAAAGAGATGAAGGAAGGGCTGATGTTTTTCATTAGAAAACGTTGATCTGTTGAAACTGGGACATTCCCAGGAATAAGCCTGTTTTGACTACGTTTCTCTGGTTTTAAAACCAGTATGTAGGTTGCGCCAGGGATTTCTTTTACCTGACAATATCAGATGAAAGGCAGGGGGCTCTTGTTGCCTTTTTACTGCTTGAATCATTGACTGGTTCTCTCTGCTGTTTTTCCCTATCCCCCTGAATCCATTGTCATTTATGTCCCAGCATTCATGCAAATTCAAGCTCCTGACACAAATACAAGAGAAGAATCATTTAAAACCTCCCAACCAGTTTCTCATTCTGAGAAAGGAGGTGACTTCCCCTTAACAGCCCATCAGACCTGCAGCTAGGTATTGCTTGCCAGAGTAAGCTGACTAGACAGAATCATTGCTGCTTTATATTCCAGAAAGTATCTGTCTGCAGAGGGCACCATCACTCCACAAGAACACTGCAGTTTAGCTAATCTCAGCTGGTAGCTCCAAGGTCTTCCTACCTAACAAAGCTCCCCTGGCTAAAGCAGGGCTTAGTCCTTATCTCTAAGCCAGGGGTTTCAAACTTATGTGGACGTCTGGGCTGAATCTGGACTTTGGGTCTCCTTGCAGGCTGGATTCAGACCCACTTCCAGTGATGATGCAAGTGGCATCAGTGGCACACAGTGTTGCCATTGCTCACTCCCCTGTAACACACATCCCCAATAGGGCTCCATATTCTGAATTTCAGCTGTGGGCCCTGCCCCCAAATTCCTGGCCTCTCCAGGAACTGCCCCCCCTCCCCCTCTCCTTCCCCACAGGCCAAAATAAATAGTGCCTTGGGTCCTATCTTTGTCACCCATGCTCTACAGTAAAGGACTGCTGGTCCTGTGAATTGCCAGACCAGACCAGATCAAGGGATCTTTCTAGTGCAGGATGCTATATCCATCAAAGGCCAGAACTGCCTGTTTTGAGAGGTAGGTGAAAGTTCCCCCCACCCCTGCCTACAGTGGACAATCATGGAATAACCTGTCCAAAAAAGGAGTTCATCCCTTAACATCATCAGGTAAAGATTGTCTATCCCATCCTGGAACATGAGGGGTTTTATTGCTTTTATCTCTTATCAGCAAGTAAAGAGTCCAGGTGGGTGATATATCTAATCTGTCCCTTGCCCCACCAATCCAGGCAAGTCAAACATCATTTCTGCATCTCCCCTGCGCCTGTCCTAAATGCCCCTCCTGCTTGTCTTCAATGCTTTTCTGTGCTGAAATGGGTCCAATCTGCAGAATTCAGGTTGGTGCCGACAGCCTGGACACAGCGCCTCAGTGTGAGGCTAGTTGGATATGAGGTTCAGAATCTGCCAAGTGTTCAGCTGCAGGCGCTTGTGGCATTCATAGTTGAACCTTCATCTAGATTCCACCTGCACAAGGTTTGACAGGCAGAAGTACAGGCTTTCACTTCAGCCCCATTCCTGTTTGATAGGCGGAAGTACAGGCTTTCACTTCAGCCCCATCCCTGCTACTGTCATGTGATCAGGGGCAGCAAGGAACATGACTCCCAGTCAACCCGTTTCTTTCGGGGCTAATTTCTTCAGTGTCTCCACCCGTTTCTTTAGGGGCTAATTATCTATCGTTGCAAAATTGCTTTATTGCATGTAGTTTATGCTAAGGGCTACCCAGGGCTGCAGACAGTAAATACAATACTCCAGGTCACAGAATCTGTTGCTGTGTTCTGCAGTTGCAGGCAGTTCCCATTATCTTGGACAATTGGTGTATCCTTAAAAATTAGCATATTTATTCTGAATACAGCAGGTCTACAAAGAGCACTGATTTCTGTGGCTGCAATATTGCAGGGTCCCCCTGAGGCTGCAGGAAAATGTCATGACATTTTGGAGAGGAGAAGGAGGAGTTCAGAGTTAAGGTTGTGCCAACAGTTCATTTATAAGGCTGATTTTTGTGATCCTTGTAATAAACAGACGACTTCCCCTTGCAAGGACCAGCAGTCGTTTTTACCAGTACCCACCCACACAGCTGGAGAATGTCTGTTGGGGTAGGTAAGCTGGGCCATCTGCATTCTTCTGCTATGTGTAGACCTCCATGGGGGTAGCACTGATTGGCACAGCTCCCCACAGCAGTGGATCTTGCAGTCAACACCCTCAAGAGATAAATGGGGCACTTACCCATGCTCAGGGCTATTATTACTATTGTTTCAAACTGTTTGCAGACTCTGGCAGACATCACTGAATTGGTTACACCTAGGTCATGTTTTCAAGCCTTCTTCACAGGCATAACAGCTAGAAACTTATATTGAGAGCCATCTCAGTGTAAATTGCTAAGATACCATGGAAACAAGTGCCTTATAAATGCTAAAAACTGGATTTTTGGCATCAGCCACCCAGCCCCAATAAACCAGGCATAAGATCCAAAACTTTGCTTTTGGGTGAGATGTGAATGTTTCTACTGGAATCAGGCAGTTCTGTGGAAAAAAAATTCTTTTGGAAAAAATTCCAGTTCTACTTTGAAAAATACTTGCAGTGCATGGTTTTCTACTAGGCTTAGAAAATACCCTGTCTACCAAATCCTTCCTCCTGAGCAGCACCTCTGGCACAGCAAAGTTCAGAGATGGTATGGGGCTGTTGGTGTCTAAGAACCCTCCCCATTTGGGAGTATGAGCTCTCTCCCACCTGGGCAGTGGTCCCCCATGTTCATCTACGTGGCATTTAGCACCTTCTTTAGAGGTTCCACTGAGCTTTGGAGTCCTTGCTGTCCCCCAGCCGGGAGCAGAACAAGGGTGAGGTGAGCAGGGCACCAGCCCTGGGTACCAACTATGGGAAGCGGGGCTGTGCTTCTCTTGCCCTGCCATAGAAGCACCCCATGCCTAGCAATGTGTCTGTGAGGGGGAGGCAAGGGAGATGAATGGAATGGTGCTTCCCTCAAAAAGAGCCTTTGCCAGAGCAGGCAGGGCCCTGCACCCAATAACACATATTGGGGGGAAGGAGAAGTGAACAGAAGGGACTTCAAAAGAGCAGCTCCAAGAGAGCCCTGGCTACAGAACTGCTGCCATTGGAGCAAGTACAGACTGTTAAGACTTCCCTCCCACCCCCTCTACAGTGGTCAGCACAGCCTCCCTCCATCTACTCTGCCAATCCCTTCTGCTGCCCTAAACACTCAATGAGCTTGATTATACCTCTGTATTCAGCCAAGCTTGTTGCCTCCTCAGATTAACAGTAGCATTGGCCAAGAGTAGAGGACATACCTAGAAGGAAATTTTGAAGATGGAAGAAGGCAAAGATCAAGGCTGTGAGGTCATAACGTTGCTTGCATGTGTCATGCTTGTCTCTCGAGGGTCATCGGCGCATGCCTGATTTCTGAAATCAGTGCATATGAATATATGTGACCTTCATTCCAGAGGTGCTGAACACCCACAGGACCCACACGAATTAAGCACTTGATTCTGAGTCATCCTGACTCTGGAATGTAGCTATGTAAATGGGGCCACTGGTTGGATAAATACAAAAGCAGACTGGCACTGAACATCATAGGAGGGAAATCTCCAGGCAGCACCTCAGGAGTTGGTACAGAGGCCTTTCCTTTCATTTTGGTAGAGATAACAGCCCCAGAGAAGAGGCTGTCCAGTGATGACATTTGCTGAGCACATCAACATTTGCGCTCATTAGTACCATGAGTGACATAAATCATCAGAAAGACTGATGGGAGGAGAAGTGACCAAGTGAATGAGCTGCTGATAGAATCCAAAGTGGGTTGGTGTAAGGTTTTGCAGTTGAAAAGCATGAAGGGACATGCAGCTCAGACTGATGGAAATAGATCTGGATAGCACTAGCAATGAATCTGACCTAGGTCAGGTTTACAAAGGCTCTAGCACAGGGGTGGGCAAAATACAGCCCACCAAGCCATTTTGTCCAGCCCATGGGGCCCCTAAAAAATTTAGAAAAATAATATTTATTTGCTCCTGGCTGCCTGTCAAAGATGACAGGAGCCAGGGGCAGTAGCACCCAAGGGAAGCCGGTGGCAGGACCCAGCAGCAAGGCCTGCCCAGACCTGCTCCCCAACTAGAAGCCCGTGCCTAGCAGAGGCTTCTGGCCTGGGACCTTGGGGCCGTTCCTGCTTTTCTGATCCAGAAAGGGAAATGCGGCCCTCGACAGCTTGCCAAAACTTAGCAAGCAGCCCTCCACCCAAAATAATTACCCGCCCCTGCTCTAGCAGGTCTACGGTGGGTCTAAAGATTCAAGGAGAAATAATGGTAGTTAAGCACCTAACCCACTGTATTCTTCTAAATATAAATTGACTTTTTGTTCCTCCAAAAGGACCAGAAAAATTGCACCTGACTTACACTTAGGGTTGACCTGTAATTGGGCCCATAACAATTTTGACTTTTGTAGTTGCAATATTTTTATGCATGCAATAAAAATACTAAGTCAGACATTTTTTTCAGTGAGTCTTTGGGCTCTTTTAATGGTTTGGTGATTCTCCAGTGGGATGGTTTAAGGGCAACAGTAGTTCAAGGACTTTATTTGTAGTTATTGACTTATATTTGGGAGAAAAGCTTTTTACCCTAAAGTGTACCTGTAAAATGTATGGCTGACTTATATGCAGGGTTGTCTCATAATTGGAATCATGCATCTGTGCTTCTGTTGCATTGGTGCAGCCAGATTGCCACGTATTTAGGCATCTGTATGTCTTTGTAAATTTGGCCCCACATACAGACTCAGGTTAGAAGCAGTGTGGAAGTGGGAATGCATTATCCTTTTGTAACAGAGAAAGCCAACCAACTTCTTGACTGTATGACAAGGGCTGTTTCACACAAGGCCAGGGAAATAAAGATATCTGTCATGAGGCAAAGCTGCTATGGGATCACATCTCAATCTGTATTTGCTTACATATAATTCACCTGCCAGAGATACCCAGGGCTGAGCTACCATGGAGAAATCGAGAAGTTTCCGCCCACAACTTTTCTTGACATTAAGTTCCCCGAAAGATGTTTTTTTTGAATCCTGAAGACAAATTCATTTGAAACTGGAATTTTTCAGCGTTTCAATCAAAATCTCAGAAATGTTAAAAGTTTTTAATAAACATGAAATTGTTTTGGCTTTGTTAGCGTTTCTACTGTGGGTTGAGGTCAGGTCATTTCCCAACCAGTTCTAAGGCCAGATCTTCACAAGCAGGGGGAGGCTAAAGAATCAAATGAAGAAAATGTGGTGGGAGGTTCATGTGGTTCCTTGGTATTTTGAGGAGGATGACAGGAGCTAGAAAGAAAAAACAGGTGGCCCTCCAGGAATTGGCTAAATACACAGCAAGGTGTTTATCTCTTGGGGCAGTTTGGAGTCTTTAGCCAGGACTGTCAGTATCCTTGAGCTGAACCTGCCCCCATAGGGTGCCAGGACACCTGAAATATTACAAGGTATATCCCAGATATGGGTTGGGTTGGCTGGCTAACCACAGGTTTTAGCTCATGCCCACTGGGGGTGGGGGGAATCATATCTCCAGAGTTTGGAGCAGGGAGGAATTTTCCCTGGCTTCTGTAAGCAGCAAGGTGGAGGTTTTACTGTCCTCCAGAACATGGAGCAGGGCTGCCAGCTGAGATCAGTTCGGCCTTGCTGGAGCCCTGTCTGGTTTCCCCAGACTAGAGACAAAGCTCACAGACTCCGCCTCTGAGTTGAGTTACCAACCTGGGCACAAGCTGGCACCCCCCAGATGCCTTGTGCTATTTATTGTAACATCATCCTTTCATATGGTGGCTTATCTCTCTGTTTCTCATAGATCCCACATGGGAAGTGCCACGGACCTGAGATATCCACTGAGCACTGTGGTTCATGCCCCTGCTGAGCCCTTTGGTACTGCCACTGGACTGCACCGGGCACAGAAGGGCCGATTTTCAGCTCTGCGGGATGAACCCCCCAAGGTAAAAAGCCCAGTGTCCATCCCACCCTGGACGCAGATCACGACTAATCTCCCGGCAGTAGTTCGGAGCGCAGCACCAGCCTCGTGTGCAGGCTCTGGTTACACCCTCAGTGTAGAGTGTGTTACAAGTCTTTTGTAACCAAAACAGCTGTGACAGCTGCCTTTGGCCTTTCAAATGAGGGGGGCTTTGCGCTGTCATTAGGCAGTGACAGCTGCAGGGCTCCCACCCTAGCCCCCTTCCAAAGCAAAGAGGTTGTTATTGTGTGGGACGCGACTGGACGGTGGCCAGCACAGCACTTACTCTGTGGGCTTAAACTGAGGCTGGAGTGGTTTTACAGTCGAGTTAGACCACACCACAGACACATGCCATGGGGTCTGGGGCTAAGGAGAAAGGTACAGGGAGACAAGCCAGTGGGTAGGCTGGCTGAGAAGCCAAGCTGCACTCGTGGCTTTAGGTGAATAGTGGGTGCTGTCTGGAGAAGGGTCTCCAAGGCCTTGTTTCCTGGGTGGCTTGGAGGCCCTTCCTTCTGGGAGCTAGATTGATAAAGTCTATCTCTGCAGGGCAAAAGGGGACTTCTTCCAAGGCCTGGCTTTGGGAGGTATGTGGGGAGTTCCCTTCTTCTGGACCCTAACTTTGGGGAGGGAGGTGTGGTGGCCCTTCTCCCTGGGGCCTGGCTCAGGGTAGAGTGTGGGAGCCCATTGTGATAGGGCCTAATTCTGGTGGACAAGGCTGGCCCCTCTGTCCAGAGTCTGGTTTAGGGAAACATTCGGGGGGCTTTCCCCCCTGGGACCTGTCTTCAGGGGTGAGTCATAGGGACTGTTCCTTCTGCTGAGGTTCAGCTTTAGGGAACATGATATTTGTCAGTTTGGAAACACTTGTCCTCCAGGCCTGGCTTTGGGAGGGAAACCTCTTTCATGGACCTGCTGTATCAAAAATATTTGATACAAGAAGACTAGGTGGGTGCCCTTTGGTAGCACTCATGGTGCATAAACAGCTCTTTTGATGCAGACCCCTCTCTGACTTATAGGCAACATGAACATCATTGTGTACAGTGCTAATTCCCCCAGAGAGACGTGGTATTCTAGCTCACCCTGAAGTTCACTAGGGGACCCAGAGAGTCTCTGCCAGTGGGTTATAATGGGGTAACAAGAGTCCCATCAGCCACTGTCCAGGGCAGCGGTAGGCAATTATTTGGGCTGGAGGGCCATTTAATGAGTTTTGGTGAGCTGTTGAGTAGTGGGGGGGAGGGAGGGAGGGAGATGCCAGTTGATCCTATCTGATCCACCGGCTGCCACTGGGAACCTAAGGAGGGAGGTCTATGCCCTGCTCCACTGTACTCTGCTGCAGCTGGGCCTGAGCTGAGCCATGCAATGCACAGACTCCTCCACCCCTGCATTCCTTTCTCCCCCGCTCCTGGCTTCCTGTTGGTGCTGTGCAATGCTGGTACTGCAGGTGCCGGCAGCCAAGCCCGCATGGGACAGGGTGCAATGCAGCGTGCAGAGTAGTCATCCCCCCTGCCCGCTGCAATGGGCTGCTGCTGATGCGTTGTGACTGGCACAAACTCACCTCCTGATGGTGCCATGGTATCAGCAGCTCATCACAGCGGGCAGGCGGGATGGCTGCTCAGTGTGCTTCATCACGCCCCATCCCATGAGGGCCTAGCTGCTGGCAGCTATCATGCCAGGACTGAGCAGCTGCAGTGCCAACAGGAAGCTAAGCTGGGGGAGATGGATGTGGTGGGGAGGATGGAGGAGTCTGTGTGCTGTGTGGCCTGGCCAGGCCGAAACTGCAGTGGAGCAGGGTGGAGTGCAGCCCTCCCTCCTTAGGCTCCCAACAGCAGCTAGCAGGATGGATACAATCAGTTGGTGGGCTGGCTATGGCCCACGGGCTGTATTTTGCCCACCCCTGGTCCAGGGCATGTCCAACTAGAAAAACGGGAGTTCCATGCATCAGCAGTGCTCCTGGGACTTGTGCCACTGCTACCACTGTATAGACAACTCTCGACTTGTGCTGTTCTGCAGCAGCTATCTGTCAGTGTGGGGGATGTCATAGTCCAAGAGGTTTGTCTTTTGAACTCCTCTAACTAGTCTATGCTGGGCTGCCCTGCAAATTCAGTGCAGTCACCTACAGTGATGGCCTTGGAGAAACTCCGCCGGGAAGAATGGAAGCATCCTGGGGTCCTGTAGCTACACAATGAGTTAATAACAAAAGATGATATTCTGAGGTCACCTATCTAAGGTCTGGTCTCCATCACAGTCTTCAATTTGCTAATCTACACTATCCTTCTGTTTAGTAGGGCATCTCCATTTTACAGATAGGAAGCTAAGGTGCAAAGAGGCTTCCCAAGATCCATGTAAGGAATCTGTGGCAGAGCAGGGACTTGAACTTAGGTGCTTGGCTAGCACCCTTACCTATGAACTGTTCTGCCTCTCTGGCGTCCTTGTTAGGACAGAAAAGAAGCTCCTACAGGGCTTTCCTTGGCCAAGCAATGTATCTGTCTAATTTGTCTCAAGGCGCACACACAGTCTTCACCACAAAAATATCAGGCTCTGGCCTTATGGGCAACACCTTTGTGTACTGGAATCTCTTAACACAGAAGGAGCATCACATGAGAACCAGGCGTGCAGGCCAACACACTGCCAGATGTCTGCTGCGTTTTGTGGGAGCCCTAGTCTGTGCTGGTTGGGGGAAGGTTGGGCCTATGTGACTGACCTCTGTGGGGTTTGTTGTCTCCCAGGACTGGGAGCAGGCTCAGCCAAGCGGCGTCCTGGCCACCGTGTCTCACACTTTCGACAGTGACCCGGAAATCTCCGACGTGGATGAGGATGACCGAGAGACGTTGTTCAGTTCCATGGATGTGCTGTCCCCCAGTGGGCACTCTGATGCCCAGACCCTGGCTATGATGCTACAGGAGCAGCTGGATGCCATAAATGAGGAGATCAGGTGAAGAATAGACTTGACTGAGGTAGCAGGGAAGGGGGATTGATTTATACAGATGGTGACTTTGCCCTGCTCTGACTGTAAAGCCAGCTTAGCTGGCCCCTGTGCTCAGGATGCTTGGCACTGCTGATGTTTACGTATAAAATTGTTATATAGAAGATAAAACCAAAAAAGCCCTTAGTAGAGCTACACTGAGATGGAGTTCTGGGTATGAGTTCACGTCACCAACATTACAGAGATATTGTAATTGGCCCAAACAATGTCCCAAACCCAGGAACAAACAGTTGTGGTTCAGGGTAATAGGAACCCAGCCGTGCTGAGGTACAGAAAGACACAGCTGACGCTTTCGAACAACCTGAACTCTGCCCTGTATTGAGATGGCCCTTTTCTGCCCTCCCTGTTACTTCTGAGGCCCTGCTGTTCCAAAATGAAAGAAGGGGCCCCCATGCCACTACATATGTCCTCAGATGGAGTTGGAGCCCCAAGGTCCCAGGACGTGAGGCCTAAAGACCCGTGACTTCTGGAATCCAGTCTAGAAACAGTAGAGACATGAGGTGGGGTGGGGGAGTGCCCAGAAATGGTGTCCACACTATCAGTGGGGAAACAGGACTGGAACCTTGCTTGAGTCTCCATTTGTGATTACTCAGGATGATTCAGGAGGAGAAGGAATCTACGGAGCTGCGTGCCGAGGAGCTGGAGACCCGCGTTACCAGTGGCAGCATGGAAGGCTTGAATCTGACGCAGCTGCGTAAAAGGGCCTCTATCCCCACCTCTCTGACTGCTCTGTCCCTGGCCAGCTCCTCCCCATCTGTCAGTGGGCGCTCCACCCCAAAGCTCTCCTCTCGCAGCGCCGCTCAGGACCTCGACCGCATGGGGATAATGACACTGGTGAGTCACGCAGGATGCAACAGGGTGAACTGAAGCCAATGAAATATACGGGCCTGTTAATGACCATTTATGCTCCTCATTTAGTAACCTCATGACTGGGCCTGGTGCTCCTCTTAGATACAGCAGGTTGTGTCTTAACTGAGCTCTGAGGTCCCTGAGATCTGAGTCTGTGGAGACCACACTGAGATTGCAGTTCTGAATGTTGTTCGCTAGAATTTCGTGGACTGTTGTGTTCCCCCCAGTCAGTGTAGCCCTCTGCTGTCCTGTCCTCCTGTGGAAAGGCAGAGTGCACTGCCAGTATTAGTTAAGTCACCTTGCTGAGACTCCAGAGGCACAAGTTTGAGTCTTGTTCCAAACTTATACAGAAAGTCACTTCAAGCTGTACATGGGCACCTAGTCATTCAGGCTGATGAGACAAAGGCAGCTGGAGTGATGGGAGCCAACAGGCTGCTACGCTTAAGTGGTCCTTTGATTAAAACATAACCATCTGAGGGTGCCTGTGCAACTAAGAACAGAATCCTGTTCATTTTACATCCACATGGTAATTATCTAGTCACAGAACTGTTATTACTGGCCCTTATGCACAGTTTGCAGTCCTAGTTCATGTGCAGTGTGGACATAGAAGCATCCATACAATTATTGGGCATGCAGTATAAACTCTCTCCAGGCTGGTCAACTGTATGGCCCAGCAAAGAAGAGGAGGAGGGTTCTCCTGTATTTTAACCTCCAGCAGCTGAGTGGCTTAGGGCACTCACCCAGGAAGGAGGAGACCCAGATACTAGGCTCCCCTCATCTGGGGGGGTCTCAATCTCTAACTTCTCAGCACAGGATTCTCCTCCTCTACTGTTTAACACCCATTGGCCCTGGGTTCTTGCTGGATATAATTTTGTGAATTAGGTTCATGACATGAATACACATGCAGAAAGATGTACCTGCCTGGCCATCTCAGCCTACTGCCAATGCTGAATAGCCATGTGGACCACTATGCATCCACAGTGCACATGGAATAGGATCATAAACTGTGCATGCATCACTGAGTAACTGCCATTTGGTCACATAAAGTAAAATAGGATTCTGCCCATCCTGTGCACATGGGTTAATGGTAGGAGAAAGCAAGAATATAGGTATAGGAGGGTGGCTTGTGGAGAAGTATGTATATGAGAAGATGGTATGTGTGTCTATGCGGTAGTGGACATGTGGAGACTTGGGTGTGTATGAGGGAAGGCATATCTGGATGTTGGGGGTTTTAGGGTATGTGAGCCTGTTAAATAGGATAATGTCCATATGTATCAGGGTGGTGAATGTGTGGGTTGATGGGTACATGGAGAGTGTCTGTAGATGGTGAGCATGTGAGTAACAGGGCAGGGGGCTGTACATATGGGAGCTGTGGGAGTAGGTGCATGGACTGATAGGCATGTATACAAGGGTGAGGCTGGTATATGTAACCAGGCACAGGGTATGTGCATGGCAGCAGAGCACATGCTGAAAGCATAGCATGTTTGTTCCCATTTTCCTGTGTTGCTTGGCCCAGCCCTAGTGACAGTTCTGCAGAGGGGACGTTCTCACCTGTGAGCATGCTGGCCTGTCTCAGTGTGGATGTGTGGGCTGTATGTGGACCGGTCAGCCATACCCAGTGTCTGCAGCCAGCACCTCACTGTCACTGCTCTGTTCAGAGGGAAATCCATAGTTAACGGCATCCCTTTTTGTGTCTCTTTCATTTTTTCTCTTGCAACCAGCCCAGTGACTTGAGGAAACACCGAAGGAAACTGCTTGTGAGTCTGTCTTTAATTCCTTTGGCCTTTGATGTGTGCTCTTGTTACTCTCTCCTGTAACTTGGTTGATGTGAGCCTTGTGGACTTGTCAGACAGCTCTGGCATAGCAATACATGGATACTCTTCCTGTGCTGAAAAATGTCTGTACCCTGAAAAATGATTGGTGGTCAGGGTGAAGGGGACATGGGTAGGGCATGGCACATTGTGAATAATTTGAGCCAGAAGCCTTGCCTTTGAATGTGTTGTTATGGCACCCGCTTAAACCCACCTGCTTAAACCCAGAATGGGCTCTGGCTTGATTGGGATCTGTGGGTGCAGCTGCAATATACATACATGTGCCTTAGAGAGGTGTGCTGCAATTGGTCTAAACCCTTCCCAAATGCAATTTGCAATAGGGGGCTCCTAACAGGAAGGTTAGAAGTCAAGATCGGGCTAGAAGCCTGGTCTTAAACATCAGCACCCATTTGGAGAAGACAGAGAGGCTTGTCCACAACAGCCCATGCCTTCCCCCTTGCAAGCTATACTCCACCAAGGCCCAGAAATCAGCCTCTGTGGACCGTTAACATGCACATGGAAAAATGACGTATGGTTCAGCCAGAGGTGTGAGTGTAAGGCAGTGTCATATAGTATAGGGCTCTTGCTTTCCTCCTTTGCAGGAGAAGCAACAAGCTGGGGTACTCCTTACCTAGGAGAAGTCAGTGGGAGCACTGAGTCTGTACTGTTGATGAGGATTGTTTTCGAACTGGCTACAGTGAATGGCTTTAGCTGTGTTTGCCAACATGCCTAAATCCACTGATGTTCCCCCATGCTTATGTGACAATAGGCTACAGTGAACATTGGGCTGTGCTCATGGGCTTATTTGAAGCCACATCGAGGGGCTGTACTCAGGTCATGTTGGTGACTGCAGAATGCTGGGGGCAAATGGCTAGGCCCATGGGGTTTCTATTGGCTTTGAGTGCTGCTTGGCAAGTCAGTTAGCAGTAGAACTAGAATAGGGAACTTTTGCCTTTGGGATTCATCTCAGGCCACTGAAGGAGGCTGTTGAGGATGCTATGATCTGGGAGCCTAAGCCAGGACTATGTTGTTTTAATGCCAATTGGAAAGATGTGGCCAGGAATATTAGCCATAGACTGTAGCCTCCCTTCCTAGCCATGCCATATGGGGAGAGATTTAATAATGCACCATGAAAAAAACAGCTTGTCCAGAGCCCTCCCTAGTACATAAATGGCAGGGTCTGCCCTTCTTCAGATCTTTTCCTAGCTTGCCTTATGTCTGGGCCTTGTCTCTCCAGCTGTTGAAGGCAAACACTTCTCGCTGACTTGATTGCAGCAGCTGAAGTGCCAGCCCCAGACTGCAGCTTAGAGGAATATCATACTTTATTCCAGTCTAGGGGCTGACAGCTTGGATGGCTTCCAAAAACTGGGCTGGAAATATCTAGAGACGGGGAAAGATTTTAGAGAGCAAACATTGAGAGACTGAGGGAGAGAAAAAAATGGAGGTAGACTGAGGCAGAAAGGAAGCAATGACGAGTGGTGGGCAACAGCACAGCAGTAGAAGATGATGACAGAGCCACCAAGTTCCAGCAGCCAGCCGGACTCCCGCATCACGTACCTTCTTGCATACTATAGAGATATTCTATAGGTAGCCTGTGTCTGCATAGCACTGCCCTGACATTTGACCGACAGGGGCCCTGTCCCAAGAAGCTTACTCCAGGGAGATGGTGTGTATCACCAGAGTGTGCATGGCAGAGGAGAGGTCTAGCAGGTGGTGATATAAATAGTACCACACTCCTGTCTGGGTTTAAGCAGGAAGTTGGCAATGAGATGGTGCTGAGGCTGCTGAAACAAATGGCTCTGTTCTTCCCTTGTCTTTACTTGGGCCAAAACCACCCAGGCTTTTTCCTTCATCATCTCACCCTGCTATTTGCCTGCTATCATGGAGTCATAGAAAAGTAGGGCTGGAAGAGACCTCTGGAAGTCATCAAGTCCAACCTCCTTTCTAAACCATTCCATTACAAATCCTTGTCTAACGTATTGCTAAGACTACACAAATCAATCCTGTCTCACAGCCACAAGGCAAGGCATCCTAACTTGCCACATGTAAAGCCGGGGGGCAACAGTAGTTATTGTTCTGCTGCTGCAAGGATTGTTAATATGCTCTAAAGATATCCAAGGAAGAGGGGCATGGCCTGCGCTGCACAGGAAGACAAAACTGCTCACATACTAGTCTGATCAGGGGGTAAAATTCCTTCCTGATCCCAAATGCAATTGGTAGCAATTGGTCTGACCCTGAGTGGTGGTTTTAGTCCCAGCAGGAGCATTGGCACACCCCAGTTAAAATCCCCAGCCTTGGCTGCAGCCAACATCTGTGCTTCTTAAGCAGGTTAAAAAAAAAAGACACTTGTAGCAATGGGAGGGGGAAAATATTCCTTCCTGGCCCCAAATGCAACCAGTAAACCCAAAAGCATGGGATTACTGAACACCTCCCATCCTGCTTTGCAATATGGGGACAGCAAACATAAATCTACACATCGCACCCTCTTACTAGACAGGCAGAACTCCTCTTTCTGTATTCCTTCCATAAACTTCTTCCAGCTACTTTAATCTTCTTTCATAAAACAGAGCCAGTTGCAAAGATCTGCTTCATTCCCTCACTACTGAGTATGGACCTCTCACATATCCACCAGCTTTAGGCTGTACAGGTCTTCTCTTTAGCTCCAAGTTATGGATGTCTGCATGGCTTCTGGGCTTCTAACTGCTGCTCTTTACAGAGCATTCCAGGCAGAGCTACTCCAAGATCATCCCTGACCAAATCTTGTCCAAACTCTTCTTGAAAATCTCCAATGATGGAGAGTCCATAACTTCCCTAGGCAGTCTATACCACTGCCTCACTGTTCTAGCAGTGAAGAAGTTTTTCTTGGTATCTAATCTAAACCTACATTGCTGCAACTTCAAGCCATTGATCTGTGTCCTGCTCTCTGTAGCAGCAGAGGAAAGGTGTTCTCCCTCATCATTATGTCGGCTCTTCAGATATTTGAAGACTGCTATCATGTCTCCTCTTAATCAACTGTTCTGTCGATCAAAACCTGGTCTCAGTCCCACTCTCTGGATGGGCACCAGTCTGTTGTGTCTAGTCCTTTGCCTAATCCCACATGGAGGGCTAGGTAATGACTTGTCACTGTTTCTACCTCTGGGTCCTACAGGCACACTCTCCAGGATCACGCTGTAAGTTCATCTGCCTAAACACTGAAACCCAGACCTTACATGCTTAGACACTATCCCCCACAAAGTCCACCCAGCTGAGTGAACTCTGATTTTTTTGTTAGCTTAATCAGGAACCATAAGGCAGTAAAGAAAGGAACAGGCTGAGCAAAGGTCTCCCTGTCTTTCTGTCATACATACACACACATATACACATTTGACCTTAAAAAGCACGAGAGAATCACAGCTCCATAGAAACTCTTTAATGCAGTCCTGTTCCATGTCCTCATACCCATGCTAAAGGTTACATACCACAGAGGTTATAATTCAGCGTGGCATTCACAAAACAAAAACAGTCTAGAATTGAAGCAGACATATTCCCCAGAGCCATTGTACATTCTCTTTACCACCCTCCAGCAAGTTGTTGTTTTACAGCACAGTGCTCGTACCCACACTGATTTCCTCTCACTTTCCAAGAGGCTGGGAAGACCTGGCTCTACCTACCAAATTTACTCAAATACAAGACCAACCTCCCAATAATTAAATTCTATATATGGAAAATGTATATATTTGTTAAAATTTTCCAGGTGCAGAATCTAATGTTTGGAGATTTGCCTTGAATTTGTCCCCCTCTCACTGCTATATCAGGAAAAACAAATCTAGGTAGTCAAGTAGCCCCCTTGCCCTCTCTGCCCCCCCTTTACTGTCAGACCCTGCTCTCCCTGAACACATGGAAGAGAGGGGCAAAATTTGCACGTAGGCAAATTGCTACAAGTGCCCATAGACTTAGTTCATCCAGAATTGAGGCATTGTTCCTTTATGCAACTGCTGTATTTTAGCACAGGGACTCCATAAACACACTTTTAGACACATTTTTTTATAATTACTTATATATAGTACAAACTGTATTTTTTTAATTTCATGGTCCAGGTCAAATTAGCCAAATCAGTTCCAAATCCTATCAGCTGAACAGAACTCAGTCGTTCAAATCCACATGGCTTTACCACTGGCAAGTATCCTCTTTCCCAGACTTTTCAGCATGGGACTTCAGGTACTTCCAAAGCCATGGCATGCATCCTACATGCAGGCCCAAGCCTGGAGGTCTTGCGGTTTGGATTCCCCCAAGTGTCACTTGCTTCTAACCAACAGGCACAAGCTAGGGGGAAAATCCCCCATCTCCATAAATAAGTGTGTAGCCGAGATCTCTCATAGTGGGACTTGCCTGCAGTGCAAGGACATGTCTCCACTCTCTACTACATATAGCTATTCAAAGGTCAGGAAGAAGGGGATCTTCCTTTCCAATCACAGCAGGAAACCACCTGGACTGATACCATGGTATCTCTCCAGCCACGTGATATTGGTCCAAAGCCAAAAGGCTCATGATTTACTATATAATTCATTGGGCTGGGCCTCAGTGGAGTCAACAGTGTTTCAAGCCATGGTGACCCCACCACTGAGCACTGCTCACTATGTGTGTATACTCCAGATACCCCCTTACAAAAGAGCCGTGTGCTAATTAGCCCCCACTTAGGACTGGAACCAAGTGTTCTTGTCACGAGTCCCGGGATCTTCCAAAAATGTATATGCAGACGAGGTGCACGGCAACCTTTTCTGGTTCTGTCTCATGCAGGACAGGGCCACACTAATCGTACACGCCAGGCTGAGAGGGGTGGATGACGAGGGATTCTGGGTGAACTGTTTGGGGCCCCATTTTATGATGTTTGTTAGACATTTAAGGCTGCTGAAGAAACAGGAATCATTGGAAATGGGATAGAAAGGCACAACTCAGCTGTGGGAGTGAAGAGGAAAATTAAATATATTCAGTGTAGTAGCCCATCATGACTTGAAAAAGTCAGCACTGAGGGGGACTGTGTGCAGTGGGCACTACTGTATGTCTTATTCAAGTGGGCTGCACTAACCTATCCTGTGGTAGGTTCTCATCATATGATGGGTCATGTGTTTTATAGTTGTAATCAGTGCTGGCTACATTTAAACAGCTTTATAGTTGTTTTCTATTATTGAATACATGCTGCTTTTGGCAGCAGTATAAAGATAGTTTATTGAATGAAGTTTCCTTGTATGTGACT